TATATATTCTTGATCAGGATCACCTCCTGAGTTGATATAGCCATGTCCGTCTGTCCGTCTGTCCGTCTGTCCGTCTGTCAGTCTGTCCGTCTGTCTGTTTCTACGCAAACTAGTCTTTCAGTTTTAAAGCTATCGGATTGAAACTTTGCACACACCCTTCTTTCCTTTGCACGCAGTATATAAGTCGGAACGGCCGGGATCGGCCGACTATATCCTATAGCTGCCATATAACTGATTGATCGGAAATGCCATAACTTTCGTGTTTGTAAAGTTAGGAAGTTGGGATTTTCTATGGGTTTTATATTTGGCCAATCAATCCGACCTACCAAATTTCATAAGGATCGGCCGACTATATCCTATAGCTGCCATATAACTGATTGATCGGAAATGCCATAACTTTGGTGTTTGTAAAGTTAGAAAGTTGGGATTTTCTATGGGTTTTATATTTGGCCAATCAATCCGACCTACCAAATTTCATAAGGATCGGCCGACTATATCCTATAGCTGCCATATAACTGATTGATCGGAAATGCCATAACTTTGGTGTTTGTAAAGTTAGAAAGTTGGGATTTTCTATGGGTTTTATATTTGGCCAATCAATCCGACCCACCAAATTTCATAAGGATCGGCCGACTATATCCTATAGCTGCCATATAACTGATTGATCGGAAATGCCATAACTTTGGTGTTTGTTAAGTTAGGAAGTTGGGATTTTCTATGGATTTTATTTTTGGCCAATCAATCCGACCTACCAAATTTCATAAGGAGCGGCCGACTATATCCTATAGCTGCCATATAACTGAACGATTGGAAATGCCATAACTTTGTTGTTGTTAAAGTTAGGAAGTTGGGATTATCTATGGGTTTTATTTTTGGCCAATCAATCCGACCTGCCAAATTTCATAAGGATCGGCCGACTATATCCTATAGCTGCAATATAACTGAACGATTGGAAATGACATAACTTTGGTGTTTTTAAAGTTGAAGTTGGAATTTTTTATGAGTATTAAGAATGCATCATATAAATAATTTTGGAGAATATAATTTACAGAATATTCTGCAAGGGTATATCAACTTCGGCTCCGCCCGAAGTTAGCTTTCCTTTCTTGTTCAATTTAACGTCGATTAATATTTTGACCCATTTTCATGTCAGTTATTTCTAGATTTCCGAGGACTTGTAACAGAGTGACTAAAAATTGGACTAAGAGAGTCCTTAACTTTACCAAACTTAAGCCGTTTCCAAAGTGGCATACCTCTAAAGACTTCTGATTCGATTCTCTAAAAATCTGCATTCAAATTTTTATACCCTTGCAGAGGGTATTATAATTTTGGTCAAAAGTGTGCAACGCAGTGAAGGAGACATCTCCGACCCTATAAAGTATATATATTCTTGATCAGGATCACCTCCTGAGTTGATATAGCCATGTCCGTCTGTCCGTCTGTCCGTCTGTCTGTTTCTACGCAAACTAGTCTCTCAGTTTTAAAGCTATCGAATTGAAACTTTGCACATACCCTTCTTTCCTTTGCACGCAGTATATATGTCGGAACGGCCGGGATCGGCCGACTATATCCTATAGCTGCCATATAACTGATTGATCGGAAATGCCATATCTTTGGTGTTTGTAAAGTTAGAATGTTGGGATTTTCTAAGGGTTTTATATTTGGCTAATCAATCCGACATGCCGAATTTCATAAGGATCGGCCGACTATATCCTATAGCTGCCATATAACTGATTGATCGGAAATGCCATAACTTTGGTGTTTGTAAAGTTAGAATGTTGGGATTTTCTATGGGTTTTATATTTGGCTAATCAATCCGACATGCCGAATTTCATAAGGATCGGCCGACTATATCCTATAGCTGCCATATAACTGAACGATTGGAAATGTCATAACTTTGGTGTTTTTAATGTCAGTTATTTCTAATTTGACTTGTTTAACTTTGACCCAAAATTGAACTTCGAGAGTCCATAAATTTACCAAACTTAAGCCGATTCCAAAGTGGCATACCTCTAAAGACTTCTGATTCGATTCTCTAAAAATCTGCATTCAAATTTTTCAATTTAACGTTGATCAAATTTTTCACCCATTTTCATGTCAGTTATTTCTAATTTGACTTGTTTAACTTTGACCCAAAATTGAACTTCGAGAGTCCATAACTTTACCAAGCTAAAGCCGATTCCAAAGTGGCATACCTCTAAAGACTTCTGATTCGATTCTCTAAAAATCTGCATTCAAATTTTTCAATTTAACTTTGATCAAATTTTTCACCCATTTTCATGTCAGTTATTTCTAATTTGACTTGTTTAACTTTGACCCAAAATTGAACTTCGAGAGTCCATAACTTTACCAAGCTAAAGCCGATTCCAAAGTGGCATACCTCTAAAGACTTCTGATTCGATTCTCTAAAAATCTGCATTCAAAATTTTCAATTTAACGTCGATTAATATTTTGACCCATTTTCATGTCAGTTATTTCTAGATTTCCGAGGACTTGTAACAGAGTGACTAAAAATTGGATTTAGAGAGTCCATAACTTTACTAAACTTAAGCCGTTTCCAAAGTGGCATACCTCTAAAGACTTCTGATTCGATTCTCTAAAAATCTGCATTCAAATTTTTATACCCTTGCAGTGGGTATTATAATTTTGGTCAAAAGTGTGCAACGCAGTGAAGGAGACATCTCCGACCCTATAAAGTATATATATTCTTGATCAGGATCACCTCCTGAGTTGATATAGCCATGTCCGTCTGTCCGTCTGTCTGTCCGTCTGTCTGTCCGTCTGTCTGTCCGTCTGTCTGTCCGTCTGTCTGTCCGTCTGTCTGTTTCTACGCAAACTAGTCTCTCAGTTTTAAAGCTATCGAATTGAAACTTTGCACATACCCTTCTTTCCTTTGCACGCAGTATATATGTCGGAACGGCCGGGATCGGCCGACTATATCCTATAGCTGCCATATAACTGATTGATCGGAAATGCCATATCTTTGGTGTTTGTAAAGTTAGAATGTTGGGATTTTCTAAGGGTTTTATATTTGGCTAATCAATCCGACATGCCGAATTTCATAAGGATCGGCCGACTATATCCTATAGCTGCCATATAACTGAACGATTGGAAATGTCATAACTTTGGTGTTTTTAATGTCAGTTATTTCTAATTTGACTTGTTTAACTTTGACCCAAAATTGAACTTCGAGAGTCCATAAATTTACCAAACTTAAGCCGATTCCAAAGTGGCATACCTCTAAAGACTTCTGATTCGATTCTCTAAAAATCTGCATTCAAATTTTTCAATTTAACGTTGATCAAATTTTTCACCCATTTTCATGTCAGTTATTTCTAATTTGACTTGTTTAACTTTGACCCAAAATTGAACTTCGAGAGTCCATAACTTTACCAAGCTAAAGCCGATTCCAAAGTGGCATACCTCTAAAGACTTCTGATTCGATTCTCTAAAAATCTGCATTCAAATTTTTCAATTTAACTTTGATCAAATTTTTCACCCATTTTCATGTCAGTTATTTCTAATTTGACTTGTTTAACTTTGACCCAAAATTGAACTTCGAGAGTCCATAACTTTACCAAGCTAAAGCCGATTCCAAAGTGGCATACCTCTAAAGACTTCTGATTCGATTCTCTAAAAATCTGCATTCAAAATTTTCAATTTAACGTCGATTAATATTTTGACCCATTTTCATGTCAGTTATTTCTAGATTTCCGAGGACTTGTAACAGAGTGACTAAAAATTGGATTTAGAGAGTCCATAACTTTACTAAACTTAAGCCGTTTCCAAAGTGGCATACCTCTAAAGACTTCTGATTCGATTTCTAAAAATCTGCATTCAAATTTTTATACCCTTGCAGAGGGTATTATAATTTTGGTCAAAAGTGTGCAACGCAGTGAAGGAGACATCTCCGACCCTATAAAGTATATATATTCTTGATCAGGATCACCTCCTGAGTTGATATAGCCATGTCCGTCTGTCCGTCTGTCTGTCCGTCTGTCTGTCCGTCTGTCTGTCCGTCTGTCTGTCCGTCTGTCTGTCCGTCTGTCTGTCCGTCTGTCTGTCCGTCTGTCTGTCCGTCTGTCTGTTTCTACGCAAACTAGTCTCTCAGTTTTAAAGCTATCGAATTGAAACTTTGCACATACCCTTCTTTCCTTTGCACGCAGTATATATGTCGGAACGGTCGGGATCGGCCGACTATATCCTATAGCTGCCATATAACTGATTGATCGGAAATGCCATATCTTTGGTGTTTGTAAAGTTAGAATGTTGGGATTTTCTAAGGGTTTTATATTTGGCTAATCAATCCGACATGCCGAATTTCATAAGGATCGGCCGACTATATCCTATAGCTGCCATATAACTGATTGATCGGAAATGCCATAACTTTGGTGTTTGTAAAGTTAGAATGTTGGGATTTTCTATTGGTTTTATATTTGGCTAATCAATCCGACATGCCGAATTTCATAAGGATCGGCCGACTATATCCTATAGCTGCCATATAACTGAACGTTTGGAAATGTCATAACTTTGGTGTTTTTAATGTCAGTTATTTCTAACTTGACTTGTTTAACTTTGACCCAAAATTGAACTTCGAGAGTCCATAACTTTACGAAGCTAAAGCCGATTGCAAAGTGGCATACCTCTAAAGACTTCTGATTCGATTCTCTAAAAATCTGCATTCAAATTTTTCAACTTAACGTCGATTAACTTTTTGACCCATGTTGATGAACGGAATGCATCCACAATTTGAATTTGAAATATTATACTTGTGCCATGCAAAATACTATTTTTGCCCTTTTTAGTATTTTAGGTATTTTCTGTACTGCGGTTTCACTATGAGATTTTTTGGTTTTTTATGTATGTATAAGTAATACGACTACAGCGGAACATGTCGGTTCAATAAAGCTTAAGATACAGTCCACTCAAATCGGAAATAAACCGTGTTTATTCTTCACCATATATTTGGTCATTCGAGCCGGATCGAGCAATTGATTAACATGGATCAATTAAAGCTTTTGAAGGCAGCAAGAAGCCGTGCGAAGGCAAGTATTACGCGCTTGCTAACGGCGTCACAAGATCCACGTGCGGGATCAAACTGGGAAATTGATGAAATCACAGTCTCATTGGAAAGGCTCAACAACGTTTGGAAGGAGTTTGAGACCATTAGCGATCAAATGGCCCTTTATGAAGAAAATGAGGGGTATGTCGATCCAGCCATCGACAACGAGAGATACGAGGATAAGTACTTGCAAGCAAACACATTGTTTCACACCATCAAACGGCGCTGTCAATCATCTAATGAGAGCGACAGAGAAGGCAGCGGCGGTAGGCAATCTGGCAACCTTGGCGATGCCGCATCAAGTTCATCTGGATGGGGAAACGAAAGCCTGGCTCGTTTTCTACAACAACAACAGGAACTGAATGAGCGTTTAGCTGAGCAACAATCAACGTTTTTGAGGGCAAACTCGGCAGCAAATGTAATGCACAACGAACTGCCAAAAATTCACATCAAAGTGTTCACTGGTGACTACAAGGAGTGGCCAGCCTTTAAAAACATCTTCGAGAGTACGATCCATAGCAAGCAGCATTTGACAGCAATTCAAAAGTTCCACTACTTAAAAACGTATATTACGGGAGAAGCATCTGATTTGATTCGTCATATGCCAATAACGGATGCTGCGTACGAGGCTGCTTGGAGTTGCCTAATTGATCGATACAACAGACCACGTCACATTGTCAACACTCTGCTGGAAACGTTTGTGAATCTCCCTTCGACATCCAAGGCAGACGTTACAGTTCTGCGCAAGGTGACCGACGGAGCCACGGAGATTGTACGAGGATTGGATGCAGCAGGGCAAACTAACAGGGACTGCTGGATCATACACTTCATTCTGGCCAAGATCGACGCTGAAACTCGACGCAAATGGATTGAGGGAAGCCGGGAACTTGAATCTCCGTCTGTGAATGATTTACTCAAGTTTTTAGACCGACGCTGCGAGGAATTCGAGCTCAGCAAAAGTGACTCGGACATCGACTTCAAGGGTGGCCCACAACCAAGCAAAGCAAAGCGTTCGTCACACGCTTTAGTATCGATGGAAGAAAATGCTTGTGCGAAATGTAACTCCAAGGAGCACAAAATCTACGGTTGCCCAAAGTTTGCTGAAGCATCCATCGAGCAGAGACGCACATTTGTTAAGGCAAAATCATTGTGTTTCAACTGCCTTAAGCATGGTCATGTATCACGCAAGTGTGAATCCAAATTTACATGCAGGTTTTGCCATAATCGCCACCACTCTCTCCTACATGTAGATATTTCTGGATCGCAAGCCGCTGTGACCACGACACAGCCACACACTGATGAAAAGCACATCTCAAGCGCTCCCGAAGAGGCTGCGGGGACCATCAGCCATATTGCTCGTGCGCAAGTGGCTCCCACAGTTGAGTCCTTGTGCAACGGATCAACAACGGCTACACGGCCCCAAGGGCTAAGGAAAAGTGCATTGCCAACAGCTCTGGTGTTTGTTAAAAACGCACAAGGATCGCACACTACATGTCGGGTACTTTTGGACAGTGGTTCGGAACTGTCGTACATCTCAGAGAGGTGCGTACAGGCACTTGGTCTGTCACGCTCGCCCTCACGCATTTTGGTGTCTGGAATTTCATCGATCAAGGCAGAGACAACTAGAGGCTGCAGCACACTGGACATGCAGTCAAGGATCTCCGATCATACAATGAAGGTACGTGCACACGTACTCAGCAAAATTACCTCCACGTTAGCAAGACACGATATCGACGCCTCAGCACTCAAGGTATTCGCTGGCTTTGAGCTTGCGGATTCTAACTATCAATCGTTGGCGCCAGTCGATATTCTCTTGGGCAGTGATTACGTTTGGACCGTGTTCACCGGTCAAAAGATGTTCGACGTTCAGGGCAACATCATCGCCATTTCGACCATTTTTGGATGGGTCATAACATCTATCATCACTACCGGCTATTCATCCACAACAACAATGCACACGGCTATTGACATTGACTCAACTCTTCGGCGCTTTTGGGAGCTGGAGGATGTCAACCAGGAATTCCATGGAAAACCAGAGGACGACGAAGTTGAACAGCACTTTGTGAAAACACATTCTCGGGACTCAAAGGGGCGTTACATCGTCGAACTTCCTTTCAAAAACTCCAACGAACAGTTTTCGGATACATTACAAGGAGCACTTGCAAGATTCAGGGGTGTAGAACGCCGCCTAAAGAAGGACCCCGATCTGCACTCACAGTACGTACAATTTATGCGTGAGTACCTACAGTTAGGTCACATGCGGGAATTATCACCAGGAGACATTGACAAAGGGCCAAATTTTTACTTGCCTCATCATCCGGTAATTACCCAAAAGCTAAGGGTAGTATTTGACGGCTCATTCAAGGATACGTATGGAAAATCCTTAAACGATGCTCTACACATTGGACCCAGCATTCTTCGAAACCTCTTCTTGATTTGTATGCGTTTCAGAATGTACAAGTTCGTCTTTTCAGCAGATATTGTCAAAATGTATCGACAAATCTTTGTGGCTGCCAACCATTGTTGCTATCAGCGTATTGTTTGGAGAGAAGACGAAAGCACACCTATCAAGCACTATGAGCTTTCCACGGTAACATACGGCACGTCTAGTGCACCATTCTTGGCAGTGAGAGTCCTGGATCAGTTAGCTCACGACCACCAACACGAGTTTCCCACAGCTGCAAGGATCTTGAAGGAGCAATTTTATGTGGACGACGTACTGACAGGAGCACACACAGAAGAAGAGCTAATTCGCAATCAAAAAGAGCTGATCCAATTAATGAAATGTGCAGGCATGGAACTTGGCAAATGGGTTTCCAATTCATCACGTATCACTGACCGAGCTACTTCTACAACCGAGGTACAAGACAAAGGATCCAATCCTACAGCAAAGGTTCTTGGCATTCATTGGAATCCAGAAGAGGATACGTTATCCTACAAAGTTTGCCTTACACCAAACCCGGACAACACCAAACGCCAAGTGCTTTCTGACGTGGCACGCATCTTTGACCCGCTGGGTATTCTGTCGCCAGTGGTGGTGCAGCTTAAAATTTTGTTTCAAGAATTGTGGTTACTGGATCTCGGCTGGGACACGGAGCTTCCTCCAAAAATTACTGACTGGTGGAACAAATGCCGTAACGACTTATACATACTTCAAGAACTACGCCTGCCACGATTTGTAGAAAACAATGGGGATCACATCGAACTGCATGGATTCTCAGATGCCTCCATTAAGGCATATTCCGCAGTCATCTACAGCAGAGTGGTACGAGCAGATGGCACCGTATCTGTTTCACTCATAGCGGGAAAAACCAGAGTAGCTCCGCTGAAGCAGCAATCCTTACCGCGTCTCGAGCTCTGTGGCGCTTTGCTACTCAGCAGACTAATATTATCAGTCAAGGATTCTCTGCAACACAAGAACATCAAAATACACGCATGGTGTGATTCAACCATAGTTTTGGCTTGGCTTTCACATCCACCATCGAAGCTCAAAACATTTGTAGCAAACAGGTCTTCAGAAATACTCGACGCGTTGCCGCGCAGTTCATGGCATCATGTAAACACAAAGGAGAATCCGGCGGACTGCGCCACACGAGGAATGCTTGCTGCAGACCTTCTCCATTTCGACTTATGGTGGATGGGACCTTCATGGCTGCAAGATCCAGAAAAGCTTTCGGTAAAGTTGAGCTGTACAAAGTTCCGTTCTTCCCTTTCAGATAATCCTGGCAAGGAAGAAGTCAAGTCCACCGCATTAACCACTCAGCAAGGCGGCTCATTTTCACCAATCGAAGCGTTGACTCAGCGGGTCTCGTCCTGGACAAAACTGGTTCACGTTGTAGCTTACGCATTACGCTTCATCCAAAGGACCAGGGCCATTAAAACTGTAGCGCTGACAAATGGGGCAAGACTCACCTATGAAGAGATTCAGGCTGCTCGCATTCTTTGCCTGCAAGAGGCTCAGAAATGCTTCATGGAGGATCGTAATCTTCTGGCGGAAAATAAACAACTTCGCAGCCGCTCCCAGTTGATCAAGCTCTCACCGTTTGCCGGCAAGGATGGCCTCCTTCGAGTTGGTGGACGCTTGGGCAACTCACAATTACCAGCTGACGTCAAACATCCTATATTGCTTCCGAAATCGCACCGCATCACAAGGATGATTTTGGAACACGAACACATTGCAAATCTACATCCAGGAGTGTCTGCTTTGTTTGTAATTACGCGTCAAAAATATTGGATTTTCGGCGCGCGTAACCTAATAAGGAACCTGGTACACAACTGCATAAAGTGCTTTCGCCAACGCAATATCACCGAGCACCAATTCATGGCCGATCTACCAGGGATTCGTATAACGGAGGCTCTACCCTTCCAGCACTCAGGCTGCGATTACGCTGGACCATTCATCCTCAAGGAAAGGAGAGGGCGCAATCCCCGAAAAACTAAGGGCTACATATGTCTCTTCGTCTGCCTTGTAACATCCGCCATACATTTGGAACTGGCCACCGATCTTAGCACAGACACATTCCTGGCATGTCTTCGGCGTTTCATGTCCCTTCGAGGAAAATGTTCGCAAATCTTCAGCGACAACGGCACGAATTTTGTTGGTGCCAAACGGGCTCTAGATGAGATGCAGCAACACCTATCTTCGCAGGAGCATCAACACACCGTAACTCAATCGTTGGCTAATGATGGAATTAAGTGGAGTTTCATACCTCCCCATTCGCCACATTGGGGAGGGAAGTGGGAGTCATCAGTACGTTCAGTTAAATTACATCTGAGACGCGTTGTGGGAAAAGCCGTTCTAACCTTTGAACAGATGCAAACTCTGATTGTTCAGATCAGTGCAGTGGTAAACTCAAGACCGTTATGCTACACACCTGACACTGACCTCACCTACTTGTCTCCGGCCCACTTTTTAATTGGCCGCCCATTCACAACAGTTCCAGAGGGTGATCTAACTCATTTGCCGATCAATCGCTTAGACTACTGGCAGCATTTACAATCAATGTACCAGGGCTTTTGGAAGCGCTGGCACCAGGAATATTTAACATCGCTGCAGCAACGTCAAAAGTGGAACAACAAGGAACATAACATCGCAGTCGGCAATGTAGTCCTGGTAAAGGACTCAAATCTCCCACCCGCAGCTTGGATTCTCGCCCGTGTATTGGAGGCTCATCATGGACCAGATGGACTTGTACGCGCTGTGAAACTTAAGACGTCTACCGGAGAGATGACGCGACCCATCACCAAGCTAGCTTTGCTGCCTAATTCAGAAACCATGTTTCAGGGTGGCCCGGGATGTTGATGAACGGAATGCATCCACAATTTGAATTCAAAATATTATACTTGTGCCATGCAAAATAGTATTTTTGCCCTTTTTTAGTATTTTAGGTATTTTTTGTATCACTATGAGATTTTTTGGTTTTTTATGTATGTATAAGTAAGACGACTACAGCGGAACATGTCGGTTCAATAAAGCTTAAGATACAGTCCACTCAAATCGGAAATAAACCGTGTTTATTCTTCACCAACCCATTTTCATGTCAGTTATTTCTAGATTTCCGAGGACTTGTAACAGAGTGACTAAAAATTGGACTTAGAGAGTCCATAACTTTACCAAACTTAAGCCGTTTCCAAAGTGGCATACCTCTAAAGACTTCTGATTCGATTCTCTAAAAATCTGCATTCAAATTTTTATACCCTTGCAGAGGGTATTATAATTTTGGTCAAAAGTGTGCAACGCAGTGAAGGAGACTTCTCCGACCCTATAAAGTATATATATTCTTGATCAGGATCACCTCCTGAGTTGATATAGCCATGTCCGTCTGTCCGTCTGTCCGTCTGTCCGTCTGTCTGTCCGTCTGTCTGTCCGTCTGTCTGTCCGTCTGTCTGTTTCTACGCGAACTAGTCTCTCAGTTTTAAAGATATCGAATTCAAACTTTGCACACACCCTTCTTTCCTTTGCACGCAGTATATAAGTCGGAACGGCCGGGATCGGCCGACTATATCCTATAGCTGCCATATAACTGATTGATCGGAAATGCCATAACTCTGCTGTTTGTTAAGTTAGAAAGTTGGGACCTTCTATGGGTTTCATATTTGGCCAATCAATCCGACGTACCAAATTTCATAAGGATCGGCCGACTATATCCTATAGCTGCTATATAACTGATTGATCGGAAATGCCATAACTTTGGTGTTTGTGAAGTTAGGATTTTCTATGGGTTTTATATTTGGCCAATTAATCTGACCTACCAAATTTCATAGGGATCGGCCGACTATATCTTATAGCTGCCATATAACTGATTGATCGGAAATGCCATAACTTTGGTGTTTGTTAAGTTAGGAAGTTGGGACCTTCTATAAGTTTTATATTTGGCCAATCAATCCGACGTACCAAATTTCATAAGGATCGGCCGAATATATCCTATAGCTGCTATATAACTGAACGATTGGAAATGCCATAACTTTGGTGTTTTTAAAGTTAGGAAGCTGGGATTTTTTATGAGTATTAAGAATGCATCATATGAATAATTTTGGAGAATATAATTTGCAGAATATTCTGCAAGGGTATTTCAACTTCGGCTCCGCCCGAAGTTAGCTTTCCTTTCTTGTTCAATTTAACGTTGATCAAATTTTTGACCCATTTTCATGTCAGTTATTTCTAATTTGACTTGTTTAACTTTGACCCAAAATTGAACTTCGAGAGTCCATAAATTTACCAAACTTAATCCGTTTCCAAAGTGGCATACCTCTAAAGACTTCTGATTCGATTCTCTAAAAATCTGCATTCAAATTTTTATACCCTTGCAGAGGGTATTATAATTTTGGTCAAAAGTGTGCAACGCAGTGAAGGAGACATCTCCGACCCTATAAAGTATATATATTCTTGATCAGGATCACCTCCTGAGTTGATATAGCCATGTCCGTCTGTCCGTCTGTCTGTCCGTCTGTCTGTCCGTCTGTCTGTCCGTCTGTCTGTTTCTACGCAAACTAGTCTCTCAGTTTGAAAGCTATCGAATTGAAACTTTGCACATACCCTTCTTTCCTTTGCACGCAGTATATATGTCGGAACGGCCGGGATCGGCCGACTATATCCTATAGCTGCCATATAACTGATTGATCGGAAATGCCATATCTTTGGTGTTTGTAAAGTTAGAATGTTGGGATTTTCTAAGGGTTTTATATTTGGCTAATCAATCCGACATGCCGAATTTCATAAGGATCGGCCGACTATATCCTATAGCTGCCATATAACTGATTGATCGGAAATGCCATAACTTTGGTGTTTGTAAAGTTAGAATGTTGGGATTTTCTATTGGTTTTATATTTGGCTAATCAATCCGACATGCCGAATTTCATAAGGATCGGCCGACTATATCCTATAGCTGCCATATAACTGAACGTTTGGAAATGTCATAACTTTGGTGTTTCTAATGTCAGTTATTTCTAACTTGACTTGTTTAACTTTGACCCAAAATTGAACTTCGAGAGTCCATAACTTTACGAAGCTAAAGCCGATTGCAAAGTGGCATACCTCTAAAGACTTCTGATTCGATTCTCTAAAAATCTGCATTCAAATTTTTCAACTTAACGTCGATTAACTTTTTGACCCATTTTCATGTCAGTTATTTCTAGATTTCCGAGGACTTGTAACAGAGTGACTAAAAATTGGACTTAGAGAGTCCATAACTTTACCAAACTTAAGCCGTTTCCAAAGTGGCATACCTCTAAAGACTTCTGATTCGATTCTCTAAAAATCTGCATTCAAATTTTTCAATTTAACGTTGATCAAATTTTTGACCCATTTTCATGTCAGTTATTTCTAATTTGACTTGTTTAACTTTGACCCAAAATTGAACTTCGAGAGTCCATAAATTTACCAAACTTAAGCCGATTCCAAAGTGGCATACCTCTAAAGACTTCTGATTCGATTCTCTAAAAATCTGCATTCAAATTTTTCAATTTAACGTTGATCAAATTTTTCACCCATTTTCATGTCAGTTATTTCTAATTTGACTTGTTTAACTTTGACCCAAAATTGAACTTCGAGAGTCCATAACTTTACCAAGCTAAAGCCGATTGCAAAGTGGCATACCTCTAAAGACTTCTGATTCGATTCTCTAAAAATCTGCATTCAAATTTTTCAATTTAACGTCGATTAATATTTTGACCCATTTTCATGTCAGTTATTTCTAGATTTCCGAGGACTTGTAACAGAGTGACTAAAAATTGGACTTAGAGAGTCCTTAACTTTACCAAACTTAAGCCGTTTCCAAAGTGGCATACCTCTAAAGACTTCTGATTCGATTCTCTAAAAATCTGCATTCAAATTTTTATACCCTTGCAGAGGGTATTATAATTTTGGTCAAAAGTGTGCAACGCAGTGAAGGAGACATCTCCGACCCTATAAAGTATATATATTCTTGATCAGGATCACCTCCTGAGTTGATATAGCCATGTCCGTCTGTCTGTCCGTCTGTCTGTCCGTCTGTCTGTCCGTCTGTCTGTCCGTCTGTCTGTCCGTCTGTCTGTTTCTACGCAAACTAGTCTCTCAGTTTTAAAGCTATCGAATTGAAACTTTGCACATACCCTTCTTTCCTTTGCACGCAGTATATATGTCGGAACGGCCGGGATCGGCCGACTATATCCTATAGCTGCCATATAACTGATTGATCGGAAATGCCATATCTTTGGTGTTTGTAAAGTTAGAATGTTGGGATTTTCTAAGGGTTTTATATTTGGCTAATCAATCCGACATGCCGAATTTCATAAGGATCGGCCGACTATATCCTATAGCTGCCATATAACTGATTGATCGGAAATGCCATAACTTTGGTGTTTGTAAAGTTAGAATGTTGGGATTTTCTATTGGTTTTATATTTGGCTAATCAATCCGACATGCCGAATTTCATAAGGATCGGCCGACTATATCCTATAGCTGCCATATAACTGAACGTTTGGAAATGTCATAACTTTGGTGTTTTTAATGTCAGTTATTATACCCTTGCAGAGGGTATTATAATTTTGGTCAAAAGTGTGCAACGCAGTGAAGGAGACATCTCCGACCCTATAAAGTATATATATTCTTGATCAGGATCACCTCCTGAGTTGATATAGCCATGTCCGTCTGTCCGTCTGTCCGTCTGTCCGTCTGTCCGTCTGTCTGTTTCTACGCAAACTAGTCTCTCAGTTTTAAAGCTATCGGATTGAAACTTTGCACACACCCTTCTTTCCTTTGCACGCAGTATATAAGTCGGAACGGCCGGGATCGGCCGACTATATCCTATAGCTGCCATATAACTGATTGATCGGAAATGCCATAACTTTCGTGCTTGTAAAGTTAGGAAGTTGGGATTTTCTATGGGTTTTATATTTGGCCAATCAATCCGACCTACCAAATTTCATAAGGATCGGCCGACTATATCCTATAGCTGCCATATAACTGATTGATCGGAAATGCCATAACTTTGGTGTTTGTAAAGTTAGAAAGTTGGGATTTTCTATGGGTTTTATATTTGGCCAATCAATCCGACCTACCAAATTTCATAAGGATCGGCCGACTATATCCTATAGCTGCCATATAACTGATTGATCGGAAATGCCATAACTTTGGTGTTTGTTAAGTTAGGAAGTTGGGATTTTCTATGGATTTTATTTTTGGCCAATCAATCCGACCTACCAAATTTCATAAGGATCGGCCGACTATATCCTATAGCTGCCATATAACTGATTGATCGGAAATGCCATAACTTTGGTGTTTGTAAAGTTAGGAAGTTGGGATTTTCTATGGATTTTATTTTTGGCCAATCAATCCGACCTATCAAATTTCATAAGGATCGGCCGACTATATCCTATAGCTGCCATATAACTGAACGATTGGAAATGCCATAACTTTGTTGTTGTTAAAGTTAGGAAGTTCGGATTTTTTTATGAGTATTAAGAATGCATCATATGAATAATTTTGGAGAATATAATTTACAGAGTATTCTGCAAGGGTATATCAACTTCGGCTCCGCCCGAAGTTAGCTTTCCTTTCTTGTTTCTAACTTGACTTGTTTAACTTTGACCCAAAATTGAACTTCGAGAGTCCATAACTTTACGAAGCTAAAGCCGATTGCAAAGTGGCATACCTCTAAAGACTTCTGATTCGATTCTCTAAAAATCTGCATTCAAATTTTTCAATTTAACGTCGATTAACTTTTTGACCCATTTTCATGTCAGTTATTTCTAGATTTCCGAGGACTTGTAACAGAGTGACTAAAAATTGGACTTAGAGAGTCCATAAATTTACCAAACTTAAGC